TGTATGTATGTATGTATGTATGTATGTATGTATGTATGTATGTATGTATGTATGTATGTATGTATGTATGTATGTATGTATGTATGTATGTACGTACGTACGTACGTACGTACGTACGTACGAGTCCTGGCTGTTGAAGGTAGTATAATATGATAGACCTCATCTTTTAACTTTTGTAACTTTTTGTGAGCGAACTTGTTCAGTTTTCACTAATAATCCAAATAGTAGTTCAGTTGAAATTACATTAATTGTGAAACAGGTGTTTATCTTAAATATAAATATGAGAAAGAAGGGATCACTACTTCTTGCTAAATGATCTTGTAAGAATGCTCATCTCCTGTCAATTTGGGATAAAAGTGAGGGGACTATATGTTAACTAAATAAGATCATTACTCATTAGTTAGCATTTGGTATATGACTATATGTGATTGCTAATTGCAAGTAAAATAAAAGACATCCAGACAAGTGCAGTTCATATTATTTAGGAACCTTTTCATTCTTGTGATGAGTCTGTATCATGCTTACAAACAATAGTTCTGATTAATTATACCCTACTTATATATCCTTGCATGCATGGCCTTTTGTAATGTCTTACTTTGCTTGAATGCTATTGTTTTTAGTACTTTTTTTGTAATAGTTAATTGTTTGCGTTTGATAGAGAATGCAATTGTTTTCCAGGTTCCAAGGAACAGATATTGGGGCTTGCATCCTCCTCCTGCACCTCTTGAAAAGGTTGTTGATGATGGATTAATGGCTATTCAAAGAGCTATTTTTCTCAAGAAGGCAGGTGTTGAGAGTACCGTGGATGATAATTTTCTCTTCAACCCTCCAAGTAGAGCTGGATTACTAGAGATTGCTGTTAAAAACATGACCAGGTATTTTTTCTTTGCCTAAAATCACATTTTGATATGAAAAGTTGTTCTCTAACATTGCATAGTAAAGTAGGAGAAATGGTTTTCACTTTCCAAATGGAAAAGAAAACTTGTTGAACTAGATGTCCATTTTTTTCATTAAAGATTCCATGTTTATAAATTCCTTTGTGAAGCTTAAACAATGCTTTTTCCTTCCTAATTCCAATATCAAATGCAGAAAATATGCCATTTGCATGTTTTTCAAACAAAATATTTCTTGTTAGGCAGTTGGTAATGATGTCCAAAATGTTTCTGATATGTTGCATACTTGAATGGACTTGGAATTGCAGTACAGTTAAAATCATTGAATGGAGAATTGTTGCCCCGGTTTCCTTTCATTAACAGTTCTCAATTTTTTTTTTAAGTTTCTTAAATGCAAAAGAGTTAAGAGTTTTGGTGCATCACAACTTTTCTCAATTGCTTCAAATGGGAGTTTCTCAAATTCATTAACAGTTCTCAATTTTTTTTTAAGTTTCTTAAATGCAAAAGAGTTAAGAGTTTTGGTGCATCACAACTTTTCTCAATTGCTTCAAATGGGAGTTTCTCAAAAAAGATGAGCTTTCCCCCTTATTTGGGCCATTATGTATTTTTTCTTTGTAGCTTAGTTGGCCCAAACAGTCTCCGTTACAACAACAAACAATTGATATTCCTCTTATTAGTTCGTACAATAGAACATAAAATTATGTGACATTACTAGTTCACCATAGGAAAATGTGATTACACATCGATTGACGATTATAGTGTTTGCCTATAAACTATTTTATAGACTATTTTATTGTGAGTGCCCATTGTTCCCTTCTCAAATGCAATATTTGATTAGGATTGACATAATTTGGTGTTTTCCAATTTTTTTGGACTTTGATGTTACAGATATTTGGAAGTTTCTCGCTTAAAAGATTCAGCTTTGCCAGTAAAAGAGGGAGTTGACACCCTTTTGATGTACCTCTATAGAGCCCTTAATCGCATCAATGACATGGAAAAACTTGCATCATCTGATAATTACTGTGTAGTGGTAAGCCTGCTTAACCTTGCTAGCATTAATTTTTTTTTAATTTACTGTCCTTAAATAAACTACACTTTTGGGCTTCGGAACACATTTTAAGAGAGTGAATATTGTGTGGTTGAAATTTATTTAGAAAGGAAAGAAAGCATATCAACCACACAATTATTTTCTTAAAAAGAATTGAGGTCAAGGCGACCTCATTGTTATGAGATTAAGGCAAACTCATTGATTTGAGATTAAGGTGGCCCCATTGATTTGAGAATGCGTGGTTATTGTATTTCTTATTGCTCTTTATATTAAAGAATTGGAGAATTGAAGAATGGAAGAATTGGAGTTTTTATATTAAATTTACATTATAACAATTTATTCTTTTTTCACAATTTTGTGATCGAAGTTTGTAAAGTTTGACAAAGAAAAGTCAAATGTAGTCTTTTTGGGACGGTGTGAGTAACTCAAAATTTATCATTAATAAGTCAAACCATATGCTAAAATCATACCATTGATGTCCTAGTCCATGTCAATCAAAAGTTGAGAAACTAATTTGTACAACATAACTCGTAACATAGTCTATACAAACTATAAGATTGTAAACTTTCGATCATTCAATTTTACGATTCAAATAGCAATCTTGTCAACCTTATGACAAATGATCAAATCTAGATGTGACTAAACTTCAACCTTGGATTTATAGACCTGCTTAACTGGTGGTTTGAACTAAAATGGACAGTGCAGGAGGAGTTGGAGTCGTTATTGAGTGAATCTGGGCATCTAAGGACACTTGCTTTTGTGTATTCCAGTAAGGGATTGATCTCTAAAGCTCTTGCCATCTGGCGTACATTGGCTAGAAATTCAAACAACATGAAAGAACTGGTTGGTGGAAATGTTCTTCAAGACAACTCCAAGTGTATTAACCCTGATCAAGAGACAGCCGTTGCTGAGGCCTCAAAGATTTTGGAGGAATCATCTGATCAAAATTTGGTATTGCAACATCTAGGATGGGTATGTACTCTTGTTTTCATTTGGTAGGACGGATGTCATCATTTTCTCTCTGTAGCATGTATATATATAGAATTTTTATAATTTATTGCTATGTTTCTCCATATTATAGTTCTTTTTATTTGATATTTGATTTAGATTTCAGATATCAATCAAATTTTGGCAGTTCAAGTCCTCATATCAGAAAAACGAATGGTACTGTTCTCACCAGGTAGGTGTTTTGTTGAATATATTATGGAAGTCTATATACTATATATCAATATACTATAACAGTGCACTGCCCTATTAGTAATTGTTTACCATATACGGAGTATTTTCAAGAGAAATACTCTGCATTGCATTATAAAGTCGATGACAATGTGAAATAGTATGAGCTGGCAAGTTAAATTGTATGCATGATGTTTTGACTTTCATAAACCCTACTGGTAAGAGCTTGGTAAGTAATGTTTTCCGATGCCTATTTGAGGAGCTGCTGGAAGGTTTTTGGGCAGGTGATGTGGATTTTTTTCCTCCCTATGATGAAGAATTAGAGAGAGGCACGACCTTGTCAAAATCCCTACAATGTTACTTGAATGCAGACTTCTATATTCCCTTCCTTTCATCCACTAAGAATACTCTCCTGCCTCTCCATCCCAAATTATAAGACTATTTTGCTTCTTGTGTGATGTTTTGATGAGAAAAAGTAAATTGTAGTTCACCTTCGGAAGTTGTCCATCTAGTTGGGCCAATTGTGTCTGATAATTTCACAGACAGAGAGAGAAAAGGTGAATTACAAATATTTAAGAAAAATAAATAGTTAGTGGTGTTAAATCTGTAAAGTTGACATTATTTGGGATGGAGTAAAAATGAACGTGTGACAGATAAAATAGGACTGAAGGAGTGTATTTAAGGTATATGATAGAGGTCTCATTCAATTGGTAGACTGTTATTGAATTGTAATAGGACACTTTTGATCTAAATGAAAAGGTCTGGGAGATAGAAGTCTAATGTGTTACTGATTGCTGCTGGGCTATTGTATTCCTGCGCCGGCAAGGAATTCCTTCTATTGCATCCGTCTCACATGCATTTTTTAGTAGACATATCTTGGGACGATGGGAGGCTTGTGAGCAAGCCTCTCACATGGACACTGATATAAATTTAAAAGGCCATTAAGAGTTGACCTTAATTAATGAGCATGTATGCACACAACAGCAATTTCAGTCGCTTAAATGTTATGTTAGTTATGAATATCTAATAAATACAAATTAATTAGTGTGCATTTTGTTCTAAATTATAATTTGAAATGTTGAATTCAAAAACAGGACTATAGCACCCTTCAACTTTTTTTAACATGCTTGTCATCATGCATTTACTTCAATCTTTCAATTACAGATGAAGTGATAGCTGCAATTGATCCAAAAAAAGTGGAGATTCTACTCAGGTAGCCCCTATTTGTGAACATTTAACTTGCTTAAAGTGTTGAATTTTGACATCTCCCACCATTGCATTTGTAGCGTTTAACTATGTGTAAGATCTTATAAAACTAACTTTTGCTTATGCCTTTTAATCACGCCTTCTATAAGATGCTTAGATATTGATGATTTTCATGAGATTTATACTCCAATTCACAATTTTGAGTTTTCTTATATGATTTGCATGCAACAATTCTTGGCTAATAGTTGTGCTTTGTTATCTTTAGTGCTATTGGGTAAGGGGCTGTTTGGCAACTTCTGAATAGGTAAGTGCTGAACCAGTAAGAGGTCTGAACCATTAAGTGCTGAACCAGTAAGAGGTCTGAACCATTAAGAGCTAGTATATTGCTTAACTATTCTGAGGCAAATGGCTGATCAATTCAGATAAGAGATTTTAACCATTCAGACTCTGTATAATACTTAACCATTCAGAGGCAAGAGGCAAATGTCTGAGCCATTCAGACATCTGAACCATTAAGAGGCTGAAACAAAGAGTCTGAACCATTACATCTGAACCATAGTTTTCAGAACCGAACCGGTGATCGAACCGGTCAACGCACTGGTTCACTGGTTTACTGGTCGAACCAGTGGTTCGAGTGGTTGAACCAGTGGTTCAAACATTTTTAATAAATAATTAAATATATATATATAAATAAATAAAATATATATATATATATATATATGTATGTATGTATATATATATGTATATGTATATATATACGTTGTGGAATTGAATTACAAAAACTAATATATAAGTAAATAAAATAACATTTTCTCTTTTTATAAATAAAAGAATTGATGTTTGACTAAATTTATAATTTAACTTAATTTACTTGAGTTGTGTCTTTAAATAAAAAATAAAATTTACTTATTTAAAAAAACTTATAAATAAAAAGTAATTTGAATTTTTTTAAAACTTTTACCTATAATTTAAATAAATATATATAAAATATGTGTGTGATATGCACTCCATATAAATTACATCAGTGGGTTTGAATTTTAGTAAAAAAAACTATATATACTTAAAAAGTATTTGATAAAAAAATTAAATATAGAATATACAAAGCGAATCGTAGGGAGTAAACACAAAGCATTGTAGCTGAGATGGTCTCTAGATGCCTCGTCCACCCAAGCAGTACTGGGTTCGAATCCTTGGATAAGTGTTTTTTAGAAATCTTCAAAAAATAATTAAAAAACCGGTTCTGGTGTTAAAACCGGCCGGTTTTATCCGGGTTTAACCGGTTTCTACTGGTTTCTACCGGTTTGATGCAGCACACGGTCTAATTGCCTGTACCGGACTGGCTTGGCGTCCGGTTCACCGGTTCCCGGTCCAAACCGGCCGGTCCGGTCCGGTTTTTAAAACTATGATCTGAACCATTAAGAGGCTGAAACAAACAGCCCCTAAGTGTTATTTGGCTGAAACTGCATATATTGTTCATTCTGTTGAACAAGGAGAAATGCCTTGAAAAATATCCACTTCAGCTAAATAGTTAAGTCAAAAGCTACCAAACAGAGCCTTAAACAGAATAAGCCAATTATGGCTACCAATCTGATCCATATTGTTGATGCTTGAGCTGCTAAACTGTTCTCATTATTTTTTTTCATATAATACTATCACCATAGTTGTTACGGCGGCTAGGCGAGGCTGGGCGCTGGAGTACCTTCTATTTGTCTAGGCGTCCATTCGGCGAGTGCATTATGGCAATATTTATGTGTGTATGTGTATGCATGTATATATAGTGTATAGTGTATATAAAGATAGATAAAAATGAATACACACACACACACACACACACAAAACCAGCCTCTGAATCTCTTATCTGTGCCATAGTAAGATACAGGCTAAATAGTGATCATCAAATTCATCAGTTGATTTGAATCAAAACTGAAATATTAGTAGTAAACAAAAGACAAACAAAACACATTCGAAACCAAAGTATCATCTCACACCCAGGAGCATGCCAATTTTCTTCAATTGTTTTTGTTGACATTCCCATCATCAATGAAACACAAACCCCAATAGACACTAGTATCTAGAGCCTTCATGCATAGTTCAAGCGGAATATGTCATTGTGCACATAAAAACTTCCATTGGGTGTTGGCATCAAGTGAAACATCTGGCTGAACTTGAGGGCGTGCTGCTCGCCAGCGAGTTGGAGGCTGCCGCTGACGAAGACAATGAAGCCGCCTTGAGTGACAGATTGCTGGCATTCGACGGTGGTGACGTTGTACTTGCACTGCTAGAAGGGGAGGCCGGTGAGCTCGCTGACGATGTTGGCAGAGCCGAGAATCTTCTGGCCCTCGAATGTCAACATGGAGCCTTCCTGGTAGAGACTGGCCTGATTGGCGCGGTTGGTATCAAAGGTGTTGTAGTAGTGTTCGACAAACGCCTTCGCCAGTGCGTCCGGATCCATTCTCGCGATCTCGATTGATCTGATCTCTCACTCTTTGCAAAATCTCCATGCATGCATGCATGCATGCATGGGTGGGTGTGTGTCTGTATGGGTGGGTGTATGGGTGTATGTATGGGTGTATGGGTGTGGGTGGGTGGGTGGGTGGGAGTGCAAACAAGTTAGGACCGGTGATTAAAAATAGAAAAGGCTCTGTAAGAAGTAAAAAAATATATACCTCCAAGACTTGAAATGGATCAAGAATTTCTCCATGGTTATGTAGAAGCCGAAGAGCAGCTGCAAACATGGGTTCTTTGCCATTCATGGGTTCCAAGTACATATCAAGTAACCTAACAACAAAATTAAGCACATTTCTCCAGCAAAAAAATGAGAGAGCAAAAATGGTAGGAATTAGGATGTGCTCACTGCATGTATGCATCTGATCTACCAATCTCTGCACAATACTGTTCTGCAGCCTCACAGTCCTCTAGCTTTCTGTCAGGAAATGAGATTTAATTAAACATCATACAATACAATTAACTAACTGCTTAGGTTCCCTCCAGAATGGCGTCCCATCTAGCTCGTTTAATAAAGTTCCCTTGTTATTATATAGAGAGAGAGGAGTCAGGTCAGGTGGTTACGAACATGATAGAGAAAAAGAATGAAAAAAGACAAATACCAAAATAAAAAATGAAGAACTAAACACTTTCCATTTCTCCAGAAGTCCTTGATCCCCCATGTTGTGAAGTCTTCATCCTTAATGAGCCCTTTCTTGTTCCTGTTTACCCAACACTAGCCTTGAATTTGTTTGAAGCAAAGCTGGATAATGTTGTCTTTGGTTGGAGCTTTCTCTTCATAAATGAATGCATTTCTTGCTTTCCAAATATTCCAAGCGATAACCCCTGGCAGAATTAGTCACAGACAACCTTTGAAGTTGTTCTCATTTCCAACCTTTGAAGTTCTTCTCATTTCCAGTAACCCACCAAGCTATTATATGTTGGCGAAGAGTAAGACCCTGCCGTACAGAGGGGCCTATAACAAAGGACCTAAAGTAGTGCCAAACTTGTGTACTAAGGGAGCAATGAAGTTGTGTAGAAGAATAAAGTCCACTTTGTCTGTAGAACCTATCTCCCAAGTGATGGGGATTTCAGTATCCGCTGCTTCTATCAAATCATAGTGAAAAGAATTCATCCTTTGTGCAGGTATCTCCAGTGGTTAATTGAAGAGAAGGAGTCAGACGACACTCAATTTCACACAACATACGCTATTTTGCTTGCTAAGTCGGCTCTTGATGCTTATGAAATGGAACATGTGTCGAAAAGCAATGCAGGGAATCCTATCTTTGAGAGTCATGTCAGAGAGAGGTTGCAGATCTTCTTACATTCGTCTGACTTGTATGATCCAGAAGAGGTCCTTGATTTAATTGAAGGATCTGAACTGTGGATGGAGAAGGTACAATGTTTCTCTTATGCTCATACTACACTTGTTCTACTATGGCGGCAAAATGGCCTAGATTTATAGATTTGTTTGTGTGTACTATTCTGTTGCTTGGTTGTTTTTTCTGACAGGCTATTCTTTACCGGAAGCTTGGTCAGGAAACATTAGTGCTACAAATTTTGGCTTTGTAAGTATGTAACCATAAATCATTGTCTGTACTTATTGATAGTTTACTTTGATAGAGAGCAATCTAGATGGGATGCCATTCTGGAGGGAACCTAAGCAGTTAGTTAATTGTATTGTATGGTGTTTAATTAAATCTCATTTCTTGACAGAAAGCTAGAGGACTGTGAGGCTGCAGAACAGTATTGTGCAGAGATTGGTAGATCAGATGCATACATGCAGTGAGCACATCCTAATTCCTACCATTTTTGCTCTCTCATTTTTTTGCTGGAGAAATGTGCTTAATTTTGTTGTTAGGTTACTTGATATGTACTTGGAACCCATGAATGGCAAAGAACCCATGTTTGCAGCTGCTCTTCGGCTTCTACATAACCATGGAGAAATTCTTGATCCATTTCAAGTCTTGGAGGTATATATTTTTTTACTTCTTACAGAGCCCTTTCTATTTTTAATCACCCGTCCTAACTTGTTTGCACTCAACATTAAATCTTTACAAATGCTACATATGTAGCTTTATGTCTGCAGAAATATGCCCTCCCTTCCCTCCACCCCCCCAAAAGGCCACCTCAAACTATCAGTTGAGGCTAAAAAACACCAGCATCTTCCCTATTCTCAAATCTTAGGGGCCGTTTGGTGAGCGTAGGAGATATGGGGTTTCATATCTCCCAATATCAGATTTCTTTTTTGGTGTTTGGTGATGCATAAAAAGAATTTGAATTCGATATTTCCAGATATCGCAAATCTTCCAAATGAAGGGTTTCGATATCTCCCGAATTTGGGAGATATCAATATGGATGTTTTTATATCTCTTTCAACCTTCGACCATCCTCCGCCACTAACACTGCCATCACCAACCACCCCGTTACCGGCCACCCTCGCCCATAACTAATTAAATCATGATTTTAAATGTTCTTCAAACAATTTCATTTTAGATTTCAAAACTCATATCATTTCTCCCATATTTCAAAATCCATACCATATCATATTTCCAAAACTCACCAAACAGGTCCTTAACCTTCAATTTTTTACTCTTCACTTGATAAAATGCATGAAAACTTTTCCTCTGAATTTCATCCTCCACTAGAGAGACATTGCTAGAGAGTTCAAGTGTATTTTTAATTTACTCCGGTACATATTTGCATCTGTTTGGGTAGAAGTCGTTGGTGCCCAAGAAGTTTACATGAAAGTTTCACCCCACTATTAAAAAACACTGTATCTCACGATTCTCATTTCATTTTCCCTTTGCAATAAGGTTGCGGCAGGAAAGAAATCCTGCATCCAACTCTGCCACTTTTTTGTGTGTGCTTGTCAAGTGTTAATTAGAGTAATTGGCACTAAATTTCATGTCGCTGACCCCACCTTATTGGTATTCTGGTGCTGGTCAATGGTGACGATGAAGAATTTGGGACTGAAATACATGTACATTTACTTATTCTATTTAAGTTCTACATTTTGTTTTTCATTATTGAAATTAAGATGGATAGCAAGAAAGAATCTTTATATGTAGAAGTAATGCCTAATCCAACCCATTTAGCAAATGCACATTGTTTATCTTGTTTTTTTCACTTAGGATATAGATATAGTTATAAATTGTAGCAATGGTGGATTCTTTTGCAAAAAATAACTTTGAGGTGACACGAGTTTTTTCGTAAAGACTCGTAGGTCCTCATGTTTTAAAAAACCACGAGGGTTCTCATGTTTTCTCGTAAAGGCTCGTAGGTCCTCATGTTTTAAAAAAACCACCACAGCCCCTAATTTTTTTTGTTAAAAGTACTAGAATACTGTTCAACATAAGGGCCATGGTGGTTTTTTAAATAACATGAGGATGTATGAGTCTATGAGAAAACTTGTCACCTCAAAGTAGTTTTTTTATTCTTGTGAGTAAAAAAAGGTGGAATCTTGAGTGTTGTGAGATAAAAAATAAAGAAAATTATATAGCTATAGTGAGTTTTGTGAGGCCAATGAAGAGGAATTCAATGAGTTAGACCCATAGTTATCAGTTATCACGGTTCCAGGAGTCCAGGACAGCATCCACCTAGGTGACACGTCATAAATATGAATTCTAAAGTCTAGACAGTAGACATAGTACCTGACATCAAAATAAGCATATCATATAATATATTGTAGTTCATAAACCTTAAGTCATCAATGCTTAAAAGAAACGTAAGTTAAAAAACAAAAATTAGCAAATCATACAACCTAAATGTAACAAATATCCATATCACATTAAAATTTGTAACAATAAATAAGTGTGTTGAAAAAATTTCGAGTATGCAAAAGTGCAAAACTCACTAACTCTAACTCTCTAAGTTTCAAAATAATACTTCGTAACATTGATAGAGTGTGTTAAATCACAAGTATCGTCGAGTACCATCAATACAAATCACAAGTATGAGAGAACAAAACTGATGGGTAAGTCTTATAAAAAACTGAGGAGTTTATTTTGTTTTGAAACAAGAATACATATTGTACATCACAAGCCCAAACAAAAACACGTTATAGATGAATTAAAAGCTGAAATGCTTCATCGCAGAATGCGTGAACGCCTCATACAGCAACCATTTTATGCTGATCTGCCTTTGTCAGAGTGATGTCAACGGGTGGAAACGACTCAGATTTTCATATCTGCACGCAGTAACAACTTTTCTTTCTTACAGTTAGCAAGTTTCCTGATGGGCATCAAGTAGAAGCCAGGTCAACAATGCGAACCATCATGTGGCAATCTCTGGCAAGTGGACTTGCCATGGCGAGATCACCATTCCAACTGTACGCCTAGACTCATAGTTGTGAAAAGTGCGCCTAAGGCACGCGATGCGCTAGGGTTAGTGCATCAGCAAACTTGATGCGCACGCTGTTTGTGATGCCCGCGCCTTACTGCGCCTCCTCGCATTATGCGCCGTTACGTTATGCGATAAAAGGCGCACATTAGGAACATATATTAATTTAAGTTTTTTAAAGGTTAGGTTTAGGGATTAGTGTTAATATTTATTCCTCCTCGCCCTTTATCATCTTTGCGTTGGTTTATGACCCAAAGAAGTTCAAATGACATAAAGTGGGTGTTTCTTTGTGCTTATAAGCTGATCAAAACTGCTTATAAGCTGTTTTTAACTTATAAGTTAGCAGATTCTGTGTGCTTATAAGCTGCTTATAAGTCAGAAAAATTGAGTAGGTCTTACTTATTTTTAAGCTAGTTTTTTTCTCCGTTTTGACTGGATTGCTTACAAAACTATCCCTCACCTATTATTAATATCCCCAAATGACTTATATATCATTCAAGTCATTTTATCTACATAAAAGAATTTTTAACATATAAGCAGCTTATAAGTTAAAAACTGCTTATAAACAATAAGTCAATAAGCACCAGTAGGGAAACGCCCACAAAGTCTCATCCTCAAGTCCTTCGACGATCTCCTTCCTCGTTTCTTTTTCTCTGCTTTGACTCATAGTTGTGAATGGCGCTCGCCATTCATGCTTATGGTGTCAAAGGTGCTGTGGCGAGGTGTTTCCGCCATTGCTCACTGTGGCGAAGCGCGCTAGAGGCGCTCGCTATTTTCCCCTGTGTTTCTGGCGAGAAGCGTGCGCCATCCGCGCTCTGCGTTTGGAGCAATAGGCGAGCGGATCGACTCGGATAAACCAGCGACGCTTCGGAACGCTAGACCTAAACGATCCGACCTTGGGAAGTATACAGCAGGTTGGATCGGACCGCAAGATCTGGTCCTCCGCAGGTGTCGTTTGCTCTCCTCTCTTTTTTTTATATCTTTTTTATGTAGTTTTTTTTATATTGGGTATTTCCTTTTTTTCTTGTTTTTTAAAATTGCTTTGTAACGTGTGAGAGTGGGTTTCATTTTTCGATTTTCTAATCTAGTTTTATATCTAGATCTGTTTGAATTTACAATCTCCCTAACTTTCTTCTCCCTTTTTCCTTCTTTTTTCTTTTGTTTCCTTTTTTTTAAAAATTTACTTAATAACCTGTAACTTCCTTTTTAATTCCTGTTTATTATTATTACTATTATTATTATCATGGATTATTATTATTCTTGTTGTTGTTATTATTATTATTGTTATTGTTGTTGTTCTTATTATTATTATTATTATTATTATCATTATATGTTTGCCATTTGACTGTCCCCCTCTCGCCATTAAAAAGGTCCTCTCGCCCGCCCCTTGCCACACGCCATTAACAACTATGCTTTGACTCTCTTCCTCTCACCTTAGATAACGCTGAACTTCAGTGTGCAGAGTAACACAGTACACAAGTCGCAAGTCAGAACCAGTTATGACTCTCTTCCTCCCCCCGATTACGGTAATTCTTTTCTCATTTATGAACTTAAATTTTCTACACTGGTTTTTTCTTAGATGTACAAAGGTTCTCTATTTTTTCAAACTATTTTTTGATGTACAATACATTTTTTTTCTCCAAATATTTTTTCCAGCAGATATTTTTTTCACATTTTAATTCTACTCTTTGAACTTTAATTTTGTCTATGCCTCATTGGTACAATGTGTGACTTTCATTCTTGATTGATTTCTAAACCTTTATTATGCTTTTAAAAATTTTATATATACTATTACTAATGTAGATATACTATGGAGTACATATCAACTAATATCCAATTTGCGCATTGTGTTCGTGATGCGCGCGCCTCAAGTGCGCATTGTGCATCGAGGCGCTAGAGCCCTTTTGTGCATCAGTGCACATCACGCAATATTGACAAGATGATGACTTGGCATCGCCAACTATGCGCCTAGTGGACAAGATGATGACTTGGCATCGCCTTGATACCAGATGTTAGGCCCGAACCGGGGGTCTAAACGAGTTACTATTTTGAGGAGTTAAGGGGTGATGCAGCCTTAGATTGAGAGTTTTGGGACACGCAATAATCGATTATGGGATTTGACAATCGATTATGTAGTGATGCTGCAAAACGAAGGAACTTCTGGGATGCCGGATAGTCGATTGACACAAGTGTGATAATCGATTATTTGGTTGTATGGCCTAGACGACGAGAATTCAGAGGGACCAGACAATCGACTATCAAAGTTGATAATCGAATATTGTGTTTCGCTGATTATTCCAGGAGTGTTCTGAAGGGTTAGATAGTCGATTATTGATGTGTGATAATCGATTATCAAGACAATCAGGATCCGAAATCAGGGCAGACAATAGTTGTGTTTGTGTGGGGAATGGCTAGGATTAATATGGGGATGATGAAGGAGTTCTTTTGGTGTTTTAATTGAAGAAAAGAGTAAGATTAAGAGGAGAAATGGGGGGTTATGGAATGGAAGAAAATCAGGGTTGGATAAACCAAGTTGGTGTTTAAGAGATATTACACACTCTTAGCCTAACTTGGGGTTTGAATCTAGAATTCAAATAAGATATTACACACTTATTTAAATATCTAGAACCTAAAACTCACACTTAAGATAACCACTCTTAAGATATAGAATTAGGAATTTGGCTAAAATAGCATCACACTATTTTATAAATACTCAAAGAGTAAAAGGAGTTTTTAATAATTCAG